TCCTTTGGGGAGGAGGGTCCTGCTGGGGTGCCTGGCCAGCCTGGGTGAGGGGCTGAGGGCCGTTTTCAGGCTGGCTTCAGCCCCTTCAGGGTGGGGTGGGGGAGTCCTGCTGGCGTGCCTGGCCAGTCTGGGTGAGGGGCTGATGGCTGTTTGCAGGCTGGCCACAGCCCCCAGCCACCCAAGCTTCCAGTGGAGGCTGGCTGGAAGCAGGTATCTGGGATTTATTTATCTTCTAGAATTGAAACTTTGTTGCCTTGAGCGGAAGCCACAGTCGGCCAGGGCAAGCAGGAAACTTGGCTTCCTCCATCAACGGGAAAACCAAGCCTCCTGCTTGCTCCAGCTCCGTGGCTGCCGGCCGCCATCTTGGTTGGGGTAATTTGCATACAGTCACTCTAATTGGCTGGTGGGCATGGCTTGGGGCATGGCAGAGGTACGGTCAATTTGCATGTTTCTCTTTTATTAGAGATATATATACACACACACATACACATATACATTCACATATGCATATACATGGATGAAAGTCACATGACAATACTTTTGGAGAAAGCTCCCAATGTGCTCTCAGGATTGAAAACTACTGGCTTTAAGATTTTTTGGTATTTTTGCACTGTTTCCCTATATTAAAAAAGTCACCATCATAAAAGAGCATAACATTATCATTATTTTCTCTTTCTACACTATTAAAAAATCAATCTATAAACAGGGAATTAAATTAGTCAATATAAAAAATTTTCAATTATATATAATATTGTGTGTTCTTATAAAACAGTGAAGATACACTCAAAACTATTGAGTTTATAATTTAATCTCCCATAAAAAAATTTACTTTCATATAAAGATATTTTTGTCTTATTGACTAAAAAACCTCACTGTATGCTATTTTTTAATACTTTCAAGAGCTATCTACAAATCGTATAAATTAATCCAGTATTTCAAGTTATTTGGGGTTTTCATTTGATGACAGCATTCTTGATATATCAATGGCTTGAGGACATTTTTCAGCTCTTTAAGACCTAATTACTTACTTTGTCTGCAGCTGCCAACAAGTTGTCAGCCATTTTGTCAAGGTTTGGTGCTTTCCCTGTGTAAATGAATCTCATCATTTCTTTAAAAACCTCGGGGTCTACATCATTTATTTCCACTCGATTCTGATATTGAAAACAACACATAAGAGTTACTACTTAAAGAACACAGACACACAAACAAACCAAGGAGAAACTTTGACAGTAATTTAAAAGCCCCAAATCTGTACAACTCAAATATAGATTAAACTCTATTTTAAAATTTATCTTCGGTAAGCTACGCAGGCAAAGTGAAACAGGCAGGTCTAAAAGGAAAGTATATGCACCAAAAACTACCATGTAGAAATATAAACCAAATTTCTTAATTTAAAAGAGTAAAACAAAAATCTATAGGCCAAACGAAATACATCTGCATGCAATTTCTGACCTCTATCTTAAAGATGTCTATTAAGTTTTTCTTTGCAGGATTCCTAAGCTGTACTACAATGCCTAAGATCCTGTAACCACCTTTAAGCAAAAGAATGGCCAGGTATATGAGATAATTTCAGAGCACCCATTACATCTCAGAACTCTCCCTTTTGCAAAATGGCATGTACTGTTATCTATGGCACCTCACCTCTTTGCTTAACACATGCTCAAGTCCAAAGAGGACCAGTTCCTTTTTTATTCCTATATCTTTTAAATTTGGTTTCTCTCCTGGGATTAATCGAGCTAAATATCAAACAATAAACAACAGTAAACTTTTCTGACCCTTTGCTGACAATAGCACTTGACACATCATTGCTGTCTGCTTACTGGGAAGTGATCAGAAAGTTGATTATAGTACCTGCCCAGACCAACAATCAAAGGAAAAGAAGCAGCTATTTTGTTGCAGCCTCTAGTTCTGCAGAAAGAATAAAGCTGAACCCACATAAACCCTGGAGTCGTCCAATTGGAGCACTAAGAATCAATCACATGTAATGATGCAACCAGCCAAGAGTCAATCTCTGAGCTTTAATCTGACATTTCAAGACGACAGGTGACAGAGAAACGCCTGGGAAAACCAAATAGGTAATATCTTTTGAGTATAGCTAATTTATAATAATGTAATCTATGCCATTTTTTGTTAAATCTAATAAATAGCAAGTTACTTTACTGCTTAAAATGTAGGCATTACTTTTGCTCTAGAAAACAAATTCTAAAATCTACTCATAAAATCTAGAAAGGAGAAATATACTTCTTTTTTAAATAATATGTTCTTATTGCTTTTTAGAGAGAAAGAGGGAGATAGATAGAAATAGAAACATTGATGAGATAGAGAGAGAGAGAAAGAGAGAGAGAGAGATATTGATTGGCTGCCTCCTGCCCACCCCCTACTAGGGGTCTAGCCCACAATCTAGGCATGTGCCCTGACCAGGAATAGAACCAGGAACCTCTTGGTTCATGGGCTGATGCTCAACCAGTGACCCACCCCAGCTGGGTGAGAAATATACTTCTTAATCAGAGAACTCCCAAATAGCTATGGCCAAGAACAGTCCTTTGATAACCACCCTTCTGTACAAGAATTACCTACTTATTTTTCTACCAAATGGTCACCCAAATAGCTGTTATTTGGAATATTCACCCACTTTAGGTTACATCGACTGTTCTACTAGAGAACCCATTTTTCCCACCTTTCTATTTTTTTCTAAAATCATAGTATAACAATTGAGAACATGCACTGTTACTTTTAAAATACAGTCCACTATTCTACTTTTGCACAAATTTATTGTTAACCCTTAAACCATGGTTACCTTTTTGCTTTCTTCCATTTCATGTTCAAACATTGCATTAAAAACTGGGGATCGAGCTGTAACAAGATTAAGCATCATTATTTAATGCACACATTTATAAGAGAAATGTACTATATTACCCAAAAGTAGAAAGTACCTGCAAGTACAGATTTATGAGCTCTAAATTCGTGTCCTCTCACAAAAAAACTGCAATCTGTAAATCTTGTGTTTTCCCAGAGATTACCTAAATCTTCTGCTAGTCGACATTCAGGAACCTTCAAAGTATTTGTATTAGTATGCCCTGATATATTTACTGAATCTTGGACCACACTCACCTAATAAAAAAGGGACAGTAAGAAAAACACTTTTACAATTTAATATCAATAATTAGTTACTAAGACTATACTTAAATATCTTATCATTAAAATTATTTGAATAATTAAATGCACTCCTGATAAAGATGCTAATACCTGATCATTGAATTTAAGGATACAATTTAAAGGTTATAAAACTACAGTCTATGATTTGCAATTTGGGAAGTATTTTAAGTGCTCTTCCTACATGTTTCAACTCTGGTAAGACTGATTTAAATATATAGTTAAATTGATTTAAATTTTAAAGTATAAGAATTCTCACAAAAGCAACTGTAGTTAGAAGTTCATGGGATCTTTTATTTTTTTAAAATCAACAGTAAGAATACAAATATGATTTAGTTTTCCAGACCTTTTATTTACTTAATTCACTAATCAATACAAACTGATATAATTTCAACATTGCTTTTATACAAACTCAAATATAAAATATGGATTAAATTATTACTCAATGGAGAGGACCACTATCTACTGAATATAATCTTAAAACACTATTAAGTCTTGTACACCACTCTGAAAGAATTCTACTATAAGGAATTTCAAATTACGTTTAATAAATTGAAGAAAATACTACCTCAACAAGTAAAGCATGTTTTTTAGAGTAAATAAATCATTTTTTTACAAAACTGCTATGTTAGTTAGCCATTGTTTTTAAGCTTTTAAGTTTTGTGGTCATTTTTTTTTTTAAATCCTCATCTGAGGATATTTTTTCCATTGATTTCTACAGAGAGTAGAAGGGAAGAGAGAGAGAGATGAAAGGGAGGGAAGACGGAGAGAGAAACATCAATGTAAGAGAGACACATTGATTGGCTGCCCCCTGCACATGCCCTTACTGGGGCTGGGGTTCCTGCAACTGAGGTATGTACCCTTGACCAGGAATTGAACCTATGACCCTTCTGTCTACGCCAACGCTCTATATATTGAGCAACCGGCCAGAGCTGTGATCATTTCTTATGCAGCAATAGATATCTATGTTCATTTGAAAACATTTCATGTGGCTTTTATTAAATAAGAATAGGTATAAATAAGGACACATATAAATACAGTAAACTATGTAGAAAATGTAAATTACAAATAGGTAAATTGGACCAAACTACTAACATGCTAACACGAAAAGTATAATAATAATCCAGTATAAAATATCTGGAGAATATTAAATCTTGGAAGTTCTCATTCATCTAGATGTATAAACATGTATCTCACTTATGTGAATGGGCACTTCTAAAGAAAAAACTTACTGAGGTATTTTTAATTAATCATTTTGTTTTTCCAACTTGCATTATTAACCTTTTGGAATCATATGTCATAGAAATCATCCAATCAATCACCTTATTTGGTAAAAGTTTTCAAAGTGAGAGCAAGAGAAGGTAACCAAAATGTCCTAAATCACACTGCTGGTCAATATCACAGGGAGACTAGACCTACATTCCCAGATTCTACTTTTTCAGCACTCTTTGTACTGCACAATATTTCTTTAGATATATGTTTTTTAAATTAGTAGTACTACTTTAGTGAAATTATGATTCAAAAAGGATTTATCACAACACTCTTTGGAGATGCTTTCCTAAACACAAGTGCCTAAATAGTGTGTATATAAAGATTCTCCTATTAAGTTTTTAATTATCCAAATAGTTTCTAAAATTTTAATAACTACAAAATAGAAAAAAGCATCATCACTCTTTACTTGATTGCCCTGTTACACCATTATAACTTAATGACACATAAACCAAATATGTTGGTGTTAATACTCAGGATTTAGTTAGGGATCAGTTTTTTATCACATAGTATTTATTTGTTCATAGAAAGCATTTCTCTTGAGATTTCTAGACAGCAGGAACTCTATCAGTTCAATTACTTGCATAATGTATGCAGTGGAGTTATAAAAATGTAATGATATGTTTAATTTAGGAATGGATATCTTAAATTCTATACATTGCCTATTATCCTAACTCAAAATAACACATTTAATGTAAAGATTTGGCAAAAATCTGGTAACTGAAGAAATAAAAGCATCAAAAAATAAAGCCATTATTATCAGGCTAGAACGTGATGTTACATTTCATTTGTATTTTGTATATGTAATTATAATTCAAAAGAATTTATATTATTGACATACGTATCTACTGTCATAGCAACCACAAATTTTAATTAAGACATTCCATTCTCCAAAGGGTATTCAAAGGACTATTTATTGAGCAGAAGTTAATAATCTAATTAAAAATTGATATGCATTAAATTCTGATAATTATTTTCTTGATACCTATATTAAAAAGTTAGTTAAAATTTTAGTTTGTCCCTGGTACATATTTAAATACGGGTAATAAAACATTCTTATTGAATGGAACCTAGAGTAAAAAATTCAGAAAAAAGGCTGAGATTCTTTCCTGAGGTTAAATTGTTTTTCTTTCAAAATAAAAGGGCAAATGCAGAATACTCAAAATTGACTAAATACTGCAAAGCAAAGCCTCAAATTCATTTGACAGCTCTTTCCTAAATTTGCTTTTGGCTCAACTCTGAGACTACTATTCAGACTAAAAAGAAACACGTGCATGCTCTTCTCAACTGTAAGTACTCTGAAAATCTGGGTCTCCTCAAGTGTGGAATTAGGTGACAGCTGGTTCCAATTTTTTAAAAAATCTCAATTCTCTAAATTAATTCTGAGAGCTAGGAATTTACAAAGGTGTATAGGACTACAAATTTTTCTGCTCTAGTTAACTACCTAACCATCCCTCACACTGGTTCCAAAGTAAGAAGGTTTTAACAGTGTGATTTCACAACATCTTATAGAATAGTGGGTCTTAAGATTTTTTGATTTTCCTAAATAGGTGGCATCCTGTTTTGAAATCTGGGTGAGAGAAACAATGTTATCAACTTTTCATTTTGCTATGAAAGAGCTTTTTAGAGAATAAAAGCCAACGTTACAAGTATTTTAAAACTGAAAGAATATCTTGGCAAGAAAAAATAGGATGGGGAAAAAGGTATCTTTCTAAATGAAATAAGTTAATTTTATGAAAAACTCATAT